CTGGCAACGCAGCTCGTCCAAATCACCAAGAAACTAGTGGGCGGATCGCTTTTGGGGGCGGAGCGCTTTCGAAGTCCTGCTCAGCAACCAGCGCACCTTTCGTCGTGAAAGCGCCACACCTCGCTCCCTTGGCAGCCAAGTAACTGCTTCATGTGGCGCACATGCTTTCCCGATGCGCTATTTATCGTAATCGCTGCCTTTAAACCCCAAATGCGACCTGCCGCTTGGAGCATAAGTAGAATGGACAGTTGACTCTGGTTCCAAATTAATACAACTTCAAAGTGGGTGTGCAGATGAGTACGAGCAGTGCATCTATCAATCAACCGTCAGTATCGGTGCACTGCAGTGCCTGTTTTTGGCTTGGAATGCTCGAAATGATCTTGCTGTGGGGGGTGAGATAGTGGATGAAAACTTACTAGAAGTCGCACTCCAATCACTTGGTGTGACTTTTTCCCCCTCCTTTTGGCCCCTTTGCCGTCAGGCCAACGTTTAAATCACTATCGATTTGTTTGAACTATATTTCGGAAGATTCGTATCATAGTTATCGTCTAAATAGCTGCATTCTATTCATTCACCGAGTTTCGATTTCGGAATTTCGGGCCGATCAGCGTATGTTTCCGACCACTTTTGTCAGACTCACCCATTGTTGGCAGCTCTAAGCTCGTCAGTGTGATGTCCTATCTTCTCCTTTCTGGACTACGTAAACAAAGGGAGCAAATAGACCAAGGTATAGACAAACGTAGACAAAAACGCAAAATTTGTTTTGGCTTTTGTGAGATTCTGCAGTCCGCTTGATCATCTTTGCGACTAATAACTTTGAGTTATTCGTTTCCTTTCCTAATCGCATTATTTGTCTTTCATCGCAAACTTGTTCTCCAGTGCTTAAAGAAATTGTTCACATCATATTTTTATGATCCATCGCTTCATTATCGTTTTCTTGTTAATATATGACTTTTGATAGCAGGCCAAAAAATTTACAGCACGATCAGCGCATGCTATGGGTTGAGAGACACACCCCCAAAAAATCAAGTAGCCACAGTGAAGCTTTAGGGCTGAGGGTAGAGGGAACTTAGTCAGTTTTGACCTTTTACACATCCTCTCTGTGGTTACCTGGCACCTCTCTCACTTGCCCAACCTCAGATCTTTGTGCTTTCTAAAGGGCAAAAAATCCCATCCCTCCTTGGATTAGAATGGTCTATTTGTAGGATGATTAGCATCGAGGTAAATTTTATTGATCCGCACGTAAGTGGATCACTTCTGCTTGTCGCATTAAAATACTTTTTCTCACTCTTTAATTCCTTTATTGGGCCCGCATCGTCATTTTTGTACTCTCCGTCCGTAACTTACTCCCCACCCATGGTGAATTAAGTGTCGATGGAAATTCTCTGCACAGGGGTCGTATTTGTCCGATGAGATGTTGGCAGAGGGTCGTATCATCTAAACTGTGTTCATCAACGGACTACAAAAAGTGTTCTGGTCTACCATTCTTATTGCTTGTCATTATTAGTTTTCAAACAAGTCTTTGATGGAAGGCAACGCGTCTCTGGGTCTAAAAGTTAATCGTGGTAAGTCAGCGAAGTATTCTATTCTTCTAGAAATTGATGCTTTATCATGCTTGTCGTAGAATTATTAGTGATGGAAGCCATGCATTCTTGGATAGGTATACGTTGAAATAATCTCGGCCAGACTTCCCATACTCTTACTGCATATTCTAGATTCCTGTCACCGATAAGCTGTCATCCATTGCTAGAACGGTGTTGGAAGGAAGCAAATGATGATTAATAGAGTGAGTCAGGCATTTACTTTGACTCTACAATTAGTTTATTTCTAATTAGTTAATACTGAGAAATATCCTTTTGGTGTGATTAAGCAAGTCGTCACTAGGACAAAACTCCTTCCCAATGACTCCGAGTGGGGTCACTGCATGGCGCATACAATCGGAACGGAATGGATCTGCGCCAAGTGCATCACTTTTCAATTTACTCCAATCGAACTGACGTGTATAGAAGTATTTTGAAGGTGTTCAAAGAAGTCCCCTACTACGGCGAGGGAGTAATAGTTTTCGAGTGGCTTCGAAAATTTCCTTGACATTTCCTCGACGCAGATTTCTCGCGAACTAGAAAGCGTTCGAAACAAATGGAGCACCTGTTAGAAAGCGTGAATCTTCTACTTTACAACGCTTTCCTCGATTTTCAAAGCATTGCCAATGAAGACAGCTACTGTCTTCCAAAGAGTGGGAACTCGCATGTAAATTTCAATTTCCTCGACAATTTCTCGACGTCTCCCACTCTCGAGAATAGGCGTGCTTAGAAAAACGCTCAGCACAACCATTTGACGATTTTTCCAACTAGCGCGCTCTAGGCACAGCGCGCGACGCGATCGCGGGTAGTTAGCGCCGCTATACTGGAGCGCGAGACTGTTCAACTGTGTAGGGGCAGTACCTCCTTCAATGTTCTACTTTCCGGCCAATGTGGCAAAGGTTAAATGTCTTTAAAGGAAAGAAGGAGAACCTAATCTGAGCAGAATTGAATCTAGCATTTGGATCAAGCCGCATTTGCGTGGCAGCGGCGCTGCGTCCCTCTCGCACATCTGAAACTAGCATTTTTTGATATGAAACCGGATGTGCAGAGGACAAAAAGGGGTGATAGCACCTGTTTAATACCGTTTTTTGCCTTTGAATTGGGTGTATCTGCGCTGACTGCTGACCTCAACAGCGTAGACTCATCTAAAAGGGAACTTGATTAAGCGAAATGCTTGTAATGCCACCTTTTTGTCATAGCGGCTGAATTTGAAATCAAGAAGTGCTAGTCGAGGGATTGCAACGACCATTTGTCTAAACCAATTCAACATTTCTAGATTTGTACTATTTCATTCATTTGGATTCATCTGCTAACAACTTTGACATAATGAACCTTTACCATCACCTTTGCGCTGGAATATGCATGATCACAGCGTTGCCCACATCTTTCACAACAACTTTTCCGCTTATCAGTTGTTCTTCTTATTGTTGGAAGGCAGTGTCAGAAGTGGCTTATCAGTTGAGTGCGCGAATAAAAGTGAGTATTTCCCGTGTTTTCAACATTTTCCCCTTTTACCAATGGTGAGCAGGATTTAAATTGGTTCATGGAGAAAACCAGACGATTAATTTAGTGAGTCGATTATCTAGGTCTCAATCTCTCAGCGCGCAGTTTAAGTTGTTGGAAAGTTTTGATTTCTGTGGGCTAAGGAACGGCACTTCACAGGCGTACAGGATGTAGCGACTGCCACAAACTGTTAGGCCTTAGGGCTTAAGGGTGCGTATGGGACATCATCCAGCACCTGAGCTCTCGTTCGTGAGCTGTTGCCATAGGTCGAGTCCGTTTTCGATAGTATCCATGCTCTCTTGCCTTCAATTCATTTCTCTCTGCTCGACGTTGATTTATCTCGCTATCAGCCTCTCAGGATTTTCGCCTATGGGAACGATTAACTCTTACTGGATTCCCATATTTTTACTACCATACTTTCTGGCACCACACACATGGCATCTCCTTACCACACCTCCCCCTAACTCCGCTCTCAAGGCGGTAAGGCCTAGGGTATTATTTGCATTGTACTCAGTAAATTTATGTTTTTTTTATCTTGTCTGTCGATCCACTTGGCCTCTCCACTTACACATGATGCAGAATAACCATACCTAGTATTCAGTAAGATTGCCTTGAAGCTCACTAGATTTTCCGAGGGTTTAGGCTAAATACTGCTCGACCGTATTCTGTGACTTTGATGGTGGTTGAGACCCAATGTGATGCTTTGCGGCTTTCTTATCAGAGGGAGAAAGATCCGGTCGATTAGTTGCGACACCGTAATCCTATTACGCTGTTAAAAGCCTCTTAACAAAGGAGCATGGCGAGATAAGAAACCCAAATCTTGATTGTGGCAGCCTGCGTAAAGTACCGATCCTGACAAGAAATCATACCATTTTGTGTAACTCAATGTTTTCGTAAGTAATTCTGAATGAGTGCCATTTGAAGCCCATTCTACGACTAGTCTTCCAGCAACTCCTCTAATGAATAAAGACAGCCTGCATTTGCAGACCGCCACGCGCACAGTGTTACTATGTATTCATGCGGCGGTGCGGTAGGGTTCCGGCAGAATTTCGACAGCAATAGCTGTTTCTACACCGTAGCGGTATGAGTGGCTGCATCTGCGTCTCTCTGTCCCCAACTCTCTCATCTTCTTATGTCCAGCCGCCTCTTTGCGTGCGAGGTTGTTCTCGTCTTACAAAGAATGGCGTTTTTCAGAGAATAATCTATATAAAGGATAAAGCATTTGCCGTTGATCAATCCCTTTTTGGGATGCGGCACGCATTCTACTTCCATTTGTACATTCGCAGTGGCGTTTGAATGCGATGTGGCCTATACAATGACTTGCGGGGGCCAGCCGATGTTCAAGTCAGTGTTTTTATCCTCCCAGACAAGTCTGGTACCAATTAACCGACCCCGGAGGGATGGAAGGCTTGGTTGGCCCGGGCGACTCACGACCCAGGATTTGATCCCGGACCGCTCGCGTGGTAAGCGCGCCACTTGTCACTACACCACTTCCGCCCTAGGAAAGGGCGGAAGTGGTGTAGTGGCAAGTGGCGCGCTTACCACGCGAGCGGTCCGGGGATCAAATCCTGGGTCGTGAGTCGCCCGGGCCAACCAAGCCTTCCATCCCTCCGGGGTCGGTTAATTGGTACCAGACTTGTCTGGGAGGATAAAAACACTGACTTGTACATCGGCTGGCCCCCGCAAGTCATTGTATAGGCCACATCGCATTCAAACGCCACTACGAATGTACAAATGGAAGTAGAATGCGTGCCGCATCCCAAAAAGGGATTGATCAACGGCAAATGCTTTATCCTTTATCCTTTATTCTGTTTTTTATCCAGTAATTTTTAATGGGTGATTGATTTTCGGCCCGCTGTTTGAGTATTTCGATGAAAACTTCCGCTACTTTGTCTTTGTATATCCACACTTTTAGAAATGAAGCTTGGGATCGTAATCTTTACTCTACTCGCTAGTACCAGTGCGTGGTACTACGGTAGGCCGGATCCCGGCTCATCAACTCAGTAAGTATTTGTTTCTGCCAGGTTTCTGCCGTTTTCCTACTCATGCCCTAAAACCGGAAAGCGGCACGGGCGGAGCGTCCAGGATAGCCCAAGCTTTGAAAGGTCCTGAAAAAAAGCCCCCCATATTGGAACGAAGGATAAAAATGACAGGTTTATTCCGCTCCTAAAAATGAGCCGCAGATTGGACTCCTTATCAGAACCTATCAGAACGGGGGTTTTAATGAATGCGGACGCTCAACCAATATTGGTCCTTCTCTGTCGTGCAGTGATTGGACGGAGGATGTGTTGTGGTGCCCGAGCTGGTCTCTCGGATAGCGCGTCGATCCCCAAGCCCTTTTGGGGTTTATTCGCGCGGGCTCCGCATTCACGTTGTAGACCAGGCACCCCTCGTGAAGAAAGAGCCGCCCAAACAAATTCAAAAAAGTCGAAAATTCTTTTTTTTTCTGCGAACTCAAAGACTGGTATTCTGACTAAACATTCATTAGCATATAAACCTTTTCACAAATTCCTACGGAAGTCTCTGGGAGCTTCCAGAAAATTAAAAAAAAATCCAAAATGTCCCAAAACTTTACAACATAGTATATTTCATTTTAGAGGAGGAGTATGGCCTCTCCCCTGGACAATCTCCTACGACACTTATAACCACACAATCAACCCAGGGCAATTCCATTTTGTGTCTAAGGTTGATTTTTTCGTTGATCTCATTGAATTAGCTCGAAAATAAATGCAGCTCAGGTTGGTGCCTGCGATGTGATCGACAAGGCAACAGACAGATACCAGAAGCTTACGTTTCCTCTGTTTGATCCGGTAAGTGCCAAATTTTGACAGATTATGCTCTAATTTACAAGTGCTCCAATAGAGAATTGTGATGATTCTAGGGCTCCGTTTTTGAAAGAGTTATCAACATGTTCCAAAGGCGGTTATGAAACAATAAGAAATCCTTAGTCTAATTTCAGGCCACATACAGCGATACAGCCGCAACGCTGACAACACTCTCAATTGCAGTGGCAGAAGGATGCACTTCGGCCTTCCCACAAATGGAGATGGATGAAAGCTGTGAGCTATTCACTTTCATCATCTAATCGAACATTTTTGCGAGGTATTCTGCATTTTTGGAAGGGTGGGTATCCCCACGTGGTGTGGACTTAAGCCGTTTGGACAGAGCGAGCACCCGAAGTAAGCGTGAATTATAATGTTCTGCTGTAGTCACGTACAATGCGCGACGCATTGACGCGCTGAAACGTGTCGCCTCCCTTCTCGTTTTCTCTGCGCTCTCTCAACGAAGAGAGAACGCGTCGAGCAAACTCGAACCGCTCCACTACAGTATAAGGAGATCAGCCTTGGTACAGCCTCGTGAATCCATCCTTCAATCTTGTGAAGAATCCATTTTGATGACCTGAGGATCATCACAGTTTATTGGTATATGCACTAGATCACTAAAAAAATAATTTTAAAAA